AACGAATTTATTAGGACATATTTTCAATTCTCTATATTATTTCTATGATTAATTGTGTTTACCACGCATCACAATGGATCTTTTCCCTTCATATACCCTTTGATTCCTTTATGATTAAATCTTCTCAATTAAGTTTAATTTTTTTAGCCTTGGATTAGTTGAGTTAGAATATTTTTTTCGAACATACGAGCGATGGCTCACATTATGTATACATATAGTGTGTCAAGTGCATTCTGTCTCTATAGCTCTTGCTCGTTTTACAGTCTATTTTAAACAGATAGAACGTCTTCCAATCACCAAAATTAATTAATTTTTTAGTCCTATTCAGATACAAGTTGTAGCAGACATTCATGAGCAACATACACAAGAGCAGTCACAAAAACATGCTACAATGCGAAAAGTATTAAGTAATGCTGAACGCAAAAAACGATTAAAAGGAGGATTAAAAAAAAAGGAGCATTAAGTAATAGATCAACTCAAAGTAGCTTTCATCAACCACGAACTAGTGCTGAACGTCAAAGATTATACAAAGCAAATAAGAAATTACGACAAAAAAATACAGAAACTCAAGAAGAAGAGTTTACACAAAGCCAAGAAGAGCAATATGTACAACATCTCGTTAAAGAATGTTAAATGTTGCAAATAAAAAAGATATTTTACAATCAAAAGGAAATTAAATTAAATTTTACCTATTCCTGATCCATTTGTAAATTATTAGACTGACAAGAACATTAAAATTATAAAATAAAATTATTATTGCCATCATGCGTTAAACAAGTTCAATATTTTATGGTTTCTATTAATTTATGAAGTTATCACTTCTGTCGAGCGTCCCGTAACGCACACCATTTTTTTTCATCAAAAATTAATTGATTAAAAAAGTAGTATACATATATTTGCATTTTGAATAAGCACCTACTATAGGAACAGGCTTAAATACGACTCATTTGTCATTGTGAGTTTTTACTACACTATTTCAATAAAGTAGGAAATGCAAACATTGAGATAAAATACATATGAATAGTTAACAACAGAAAAGAAAAATACACCCATGAAACAGAAATTAAATTAATAATGAATGTTTAATTTCGCTAAAATAAAAATATGTATATCTAAAAATCAAACTTTCAATTATTCTGATTTATTCTCCTGACTGCGTGTACTTGTTATTATATTCTTATATTTCCTGGGTCTCAGTCAAAGTGTGAAGAAACAATTTTGAATATCGTTTATATCATTACGTTTCGGCGAGATAACAGCGCCATCATCAGATTTAAAATTTACACAAACTCATGATTGGTAAAAATCAACGTTCTTTTAGGTCTTTGCCTTGTTGAAACCTTAAATTTGTCTTTCGAGAGGCAACATAAAAAATATGCTTGTATCTAAAGTTGTTGAAAACCACAAGTTTATAATTTGTAGCTTTTCTGCAAGGCGCGAGATGGCGCGCAGTATTCAATGAATGAATTCGATAGTTACAATCTCGATTTAGCTCGAATCGATAGTGCCCATCACTAGTCTTGAGATTAAAATCTGAAGGTCCGAAGGGTTCGAATCCCAGCTGTGCACATGCAAAAGTCAAAAAGTAAAAGCTGGTAAAATCGCCCTAATCTGCAGAACAAAAAAAAAACAATGTTAAGGGCTTGCGATCGGTTGGCGCCAAAGGCGCCACGGCGGCAAGAACCTTCATCCACTTAACACGTTTCCGTTAATAACAGCGCTATTGTTTCTAGCATTGGATATGTAGATCTAATTCTATGGAATTCACGCATTTTCTGGATCGCTTTGATTCGCAGCCCAGCTCATAGAAGGCCGTTCCCAAAATAAAACTACTTAGAAACAATCATGGCCTGCTTTGATGCACTATCCAGACAATCCGCATTATTCCCGATTTGCGCTCGCTTCCTCGACGTACGTGATTGGAAGTTGGCGAGCGCGAAGGAGCGCAGCTCAACGGCAGCGCGAGCGATTCTGCCTCGTATTGAGCGAAATGGGCGCCGCTCTCCAGAATCAGCTGATTAGGCATCTGATTTCCAGGAGATGTTGCAGGAATACAGAGGTTATGCGCGCCAAAAGGGACGGATTTATGCCTGGCTGGCATGCAGGGAACAAGGATGGCAGTAGTGTAGAAAATGGCAGCAGTAGGTACAACAAATTCTGTTTGTTTAGAAATTAAAATACGTAGTATAGAACAGGCCTTGCTTCCCCTTATCAAACAGGTAATCTTGTAGTTAGTCGCTTGGTTTGTGTTTGGCTCCCCCTAGTTGTCCTCCGCTTGCCGCCAGATTAGGGCGTGTTAAGGCCATAAAAGTACCATATTGCTGTCTTTGCTCTTGTATGGGTTGCCTTATTTGGTGCTCATCATCCCTATTAAAGTAGACTAATATTAGTTTAGGTAAACAGCCGTAAAAATTGAAATTATTCCATCTTAGAAAAATTTACTGTCTAATTCTCCAAACTAACTAATCACAGTTAGCTTATGAACTAAACATAATTTTTCAATTTCCACGCTTGGCTTTCGCTCGATTTCCTACAATTTCGCCACAAATTAAATTAATTACTGCAAAATTATTTTTTATTCAAAAACAAAAAAGTTACGCCCGAGCAGGGACTTGAACCCTGGACCCTTGGATTAAAAGTCCAATGCTCTACCGACTGAGCTACCCGGGCCGATGTAAATGTTACATAATCACAGAAAGCCACTCAGCCAGTAGTACAAGAGCCAATGTATTGAAATAAGCGTAAGCTTGATCGCCGGATGGTTCATAAATTAAGCCAACAAACGTACCCAACTCGCACGAAAGTGCATAATAATTGTTTTTCGGCAAAAGTTTGAGCATCTTTTCTAACCTCGCCCACTGATTGAGGTTATCTAGCGCGTCGATAGTCAGATGGCGAATTATTAGCCTCTTTCGGGAACTCAACGCAAAATTCGTAAGGACTTCAACGACACGATCCCTGTAAATATTTACACTGTGCGCCAAATTTTTTTCAAAAGAGTTGGAATTTCGCGGCCAACGCTCCAGTTGCAACAAAGGTCTGAAGATGTTTGGGCGTGCGAAACGTCAGGAAAAAAAATGGTGTGCGTCACGCGACGCTCGACAGAAGCTTCATAAATTACTAGAAACCATAAAATATTGAACTTGTTTAACGTATGATGGCAATAATTATTTTATTTTATAATTTTAATATTCTTGTTGGTCTAATAATTTATAAATGGATTAGGAATAGGTAAAATTTCATTTAAATTCCTTTCGAATGTAAAATATCTTTTTTATTTGCAACATTTAACATTCTTTAACGAGATGTTGTACATATTTCTCTTCTTGGGTTTGTGTAAACTCTTCTCCTTGAGTTTCTGTATTATTTTGTAGTAATTTCTTATTTGCTTTGTATAATCTTTGACGTTCAGCTTAGTTTGTGGTTGATGAAAGCTACTTTGAGTTGATCTATTACTTAATGCTCATTTTTTAGCACAAAATCGTATTTGGCGTTCAGCATTACTTAATACTTTTCGCATTATAGCATGTTTTTGTGACTGCTCTTATGTATGTTGCTCATGAACGTCTGCTACAATTTGTATCTGAATAGGACTGAAAAATCAATTAATTTTGGTGATTGGAAGACGTTCTATCTGTTTAAAAGAGACGGTAAAACGAGGAAGAGCTATAGAGACAGGATACAATTGACATACTATATGTATACATAATGTTAACCGATCGCGCGTAGGTTCAAAAAAAAATTCTAACTGAACTAATCCAAGGCTAAAAAAATTAAACTAAATTGAGAAAATGTAATCATAAAGAAAGCAAAGGGTATATGAAGGGAAAAAATCAATTTTGATACGTGGTAAACACAATTAATCATAGAAATAACATAGAGAATTGAAAATAAGCCCTAATAAATTCGTTATACATATTTTGCAACTATAAGCTGAAGAGAGATTCGTATCGTCTTAACATCAAGAATGCGTCGCGTGAAAGAAAATAAGAAGACCGAACCCATGTTTTCTGAAATAACCGAGGTAAACTCAAATATTTTTTGAATTAAATTCAAAACATATTTATTACATATTATTACAAAACAGTAATGACGTTTATCATTTTATGTTAAATATGAAAGATTACAAAATAGATATCTAAATATTGATAATTTGTTGTGACAAAATAAAGTAACAAATAATAGAACATACTATTGTCTTAAAAGTTATTAATAATAGTAGTGACACTTTATTTGCACTTAATCTTGAGCGTTTTTCATAAATTGACCCTGGCTTCTTTAAAAAATATCCGCTCAACATTTGGTTTAACAATTGTCTCCGATGAAAATCGCTAAACAAGTAGGTAGTAATATTTTACCAGTTCGGAACTTTGAATCATGCAACACAATGCAAATGGACATCATCAGGGCAGCATGTGGACTACAGACGGAGAGTAAGACATAGGGAATCGATACCGGGATTGTATCGATACGATTTAATTTAATTTAACCTTTTCTTGATACGAATTTGCGTCAACAATCAATCAGGCGATTTAAAATAGGTCCAACAGTTTTTCAAAAACTTTATTGTAGTGGATCTTAGGCACAATTTTGTTGCACAACATCGATTGTTAGTTCTTAAAACAATATTTAACAGTACACGGCAATCTGCAATCTCATTTGCAATTATAAATACCCGGTCGTTTGAAGATGATTTTCAAAAGCTTGTAATACATTTTTCGGTAAATTGATGGACGATCAGCATTTTTTTGCACTTATTCTGCTTTAGTGTGTATAATTGTGTGTGTACTTAAATTGGAAATTTAAGAGAAGGCGAAACTCGAACATACATTTAGTACATGAGCACCCTTAACCTAGTATTTACATTATCTGCAGCTTCTCCCTTGATAATTTGTTGATTGACTGCACTGAACACAATTATATCACACTCAATAATTGATAAATAAAAATCACTGTCAGTTTAATAACGCAATGATACAGCAAATAATACAGATGCACCCGCACTAAGAGAAAAATGTCGAATTCAAGGTGCATTTGTGCGTCCCAAGCCTCAGGCGCAAAGAGGCCGGAGTGAAAAATCGGTTCACCCTCCCATAAAGTTATCACTTCAAAAATATTTTTTACAACAGCCCAAAATCGCCTTTATTTTCGCGCTTTAATCGCAAAATCTTTTTTCCTGACATTTCGCGCGCACAAACATCTTCAGACCTTTGCTGCAACTTCATTGCATTTTCAAAAAAAGACCTTTTGAACTATTGGGCAATTTATGGAGCAGCGACAAAGTACATGCTAGAAGCCAACAGGAACCCAAAATGAACTCTTTGCGCGTTGCTGCTTTCCATCTGCTTCGAGTGCTTCTTGGTGCGGTTCCTCCAATCGGGCCCTCCAAGGGCGCTGCCACAAAGTCCTGGATATTCTGGATCGGTGCAGAACGTCCCCTCCGGACAGGCGCTGCACGGTTCCCCCACCTTATAAACCGCCTGGCCTGGAATGTTTCCCGATGGCCCGTAGTTGCAGAAAAAGTGCTCTCTGTACACAGTTTCCCCATTTTCCTGCCTTTGGAAACTCACTCGTGCGCAGCCCACTAAATAGGTGTCTGCCCATATCAGCTGAGTGAAGGGAGCCAAGTCTTGGGTCGTGCTATGCGAAAAGTTTTCCTCAATCAGACCCTGTTGGAAATGCGTCCCAGTTAGTCCCTTACACGTCGTAACTCGCCAAGATTTCGCCATTCGAGTACTGCACCAACTCGTACCAGTCGGCCACATGTTGCAAGTCGCTCTTGGAGGCGTACATTCCCCAGCCGAGATTTTGGCCTACTGGAAAGCGTGCCAGATCGCGACATTTATCGTGAGCAAAAACACACTGGGTGGCCCAACGGGCGCCCACATTGGCCAGCTCCTGATCCCAAGAGATCAGCTTCATGTTGGCTGCCGTCGGTTGCGGCCCTGGAAAGTCCCAGCCCTTTCCACTCATTTTCACTCAGTCTCTCAGTCTTACTAGCAGGGGCGGATCCAGCTTTAAAGTCAGGGGGGG